ATATCACATATCTGTGATGACGTTGTTACTGTGTTGCCGACACCTCGAATTTCGCAAGTGGACTGTATTAAATTTATATTAATTAAATCGCATAGTGGTTTAGAAATAAAACAATGTTGACTACCACAGTCGAGAAGCGCGCGTGCTAAGTGAAACTTATTGTACCTATCGGCTATCTCGACTATAGCTGTAGACAATAAAACGGGTCGCATAGTAGATTGTTTGTGAATTAAATTAAAATTATCTATGTGTGTACTGTTTACTCGAGACGAATGAATTTGCGCGGGGATGGACTGCGCGGGCGGTGCGACGGTCGCGGGGGTCATTTGACTAGAACCCGGGGTTTCGTTGTCGGCTAGATGCATTGATACGACCGCTACTCGATCAGTCACGTTATTATGAATAAGCGTGTTGTGTTTTTTAAAACACAGTCTGCAAGGTCCAAATTTGCACATACTAACTGAATGCCCTGGACGTAAACAGTTCTCACATAATTTATTTGCGGTTATAAATTGCAGTTTAGCGTCTAAGTTAGTGTCCAAAAATGTTTGACATGAATAAAGTGGATGATCGGCGTTACACATTAAACACGATTTCTTAGTAGACGTGATTCGACCTTGCTGTGACTTATTGGTGGAAACATTGCAGTGCACTTTATGATGTGATGTTTTATGTGACGGATAATGTGACGATTGTTGTAAAGTCGCGTTTTGAGTTTTAACGTCACTGTTAACTCTGTATGAAACTAGCAATGTTTCCAACATGTCAGCCTTGTCTCTAAGGAACATGAGTAAATCATCTACCTTCAGTGAAGAAATATCATTAATATATTTTCGTGTGGTGCATTTAAATTGTTCCCATTCACGTTCGGTGGTTTCATCTAACTTAGACGTTATAATAAATATAATTAACGTATCCCAGTACTCAGTAGGCTCACCTAATATTTTTAATGCGCGTAAATTTCTAAGAATAATATCTGTCAGTTTTCTGAGTGCATGTGGTGATTCCTTAGAAAGTTTTTGAATAGTGAATAAGGCCTTAACGTGGTTATGCACCAACAGACTGCTATTGTTGTATCTGTTGAGAAGTAGTTCCCATGCTACCACATAGTTACTAGCAGAGAATTCTAAGGAATCGATAACTAACTCCGCGCTTCCCTTTAGTGACGATTTTAGGTAGTGGAATTTCTGAATATCGCTAATTTCATCGGAATTGTGTACTAGAGATAGAAAAATGTCTCTGTATTCGATCCAATGCTCATACGTTCCATCATATACAGGTAGGGAGATGGTCGGAAGTTTTATAGACTGTGACGCCCTATTACTACCCTTACTGGACGCGCTAGTGACCTCTACCGATTTGAGCAAACATTCAGCTTGAGCTAGTGCATGATAATAGCAATCTTCAAACAATTCTCGTTGCGTCAGCTGCGAATCTAAATCTGAATCTCGTACAATTTTTTCGATTTTTGTTTGAATATCGCTAAACTCTGTAAATAAGCTCGTAACACCTTGCATGCGTAATTTTACATCGGCGCATTTTTGATTAGTTAATTGTTCGAGGGTAATATCACTAACGGCATTAGAAAATTTAGTAAGCCTGCTTTTTAATATGCCACGCGTCTTGACTAGATCCTTTAGCAATTCATTATCGTTTTCATTATTAGCGACTAGCCTATTAGGGGATCTTTCACGATTTATTTTAACACTAGCCTCATTTATACTCATTTTGGCAAATTATGAAGGTACTTACGTTTGATTCTTGGTCTGTAAGATCAGCCTGTGCTAGCTGCGACACAAAGCTGCTTCTTATTGCTAAACACAAGAACTGTAACGTGACTAAAGGCACGGTGTGACACAATTGAAGCGAAGGAGATGGGGTTAGGGAGGATGGCAGACCGTTCCGGAATGCGCTTATGGACGATTGCTGTCTGCTGCTGCTCCTCCGACGCCTTAACCTCGATCCTTACTAGATGTCTTCTCACTTCTCGTAGTCCAAAACTTGTGCGATGAATTGGCATACGATGAGTCCAATGGTCGCTGACTCGTACTTTTCGTATTATTATTCGGCAACGAAGGTCCAAAACACGTATGTTTGCGCTTGAAGGTGAGAAGCTCTTGGTTGAAATCAAATGCTTGTCCGTGCCTCAAGTTTTATAATAAATTAAAATAAATACAAAAGTGCGTGTAGTTCTATCCGTTAACAAAATTTGAATGTTTGACCTTCTAGCGGTTAAACGGTCTATATCTATGGTTCTAATATTGCAAGTACGAAAAATTTACTTTTTATTAAAACGTCTATACTGCCAAATCTTGAACAAGGAGTCCTACGGATGTTTCCCGATTGGTTGGATCCATAGGAAACGCTCCTTAGTCGCGCCGTTGCACTCGTGGGAATGGAGCGTTCAACCAATTGGAAACTAACACTATTTGTGTTATTGGTAGTCATAAAACTTTATTAGTTAACGAATGGGTGTAGCCTTACCTGGTGTAGTTTACGATACCCTTTGTTTTATACCACTGAGGTGGCAAACAAGCATACGACCCATTTGATGGTAACCGGTTACCGTAGCCTATGAATGCCTGCAATACCAGAGGTATTAGTCGCGTTGCCGACTTTAAAGAAACTCCTTTACCCCCCTTTTGAAGAACCCCATGCTGTAGTCTCTTGTGAAAATCTCGACAGGGAGCTCATTCCATAACCTGAGGGTTCGTGGGAGAAAACATCTCTGAAACCGCGTTGTACGCAACCATCTAGACTGTAGGGTATGAGGTATGAGGTACCCTAAGCCTGAGATGGCCTAAATTAAATATAGATTTTAACCTTTTGCCTTTGGTAGGAAAAACAATGAAATAAACTACTTCTAAATAGAGTATCACAATAGGACAGAGGTGCCCAAGCAAACGACTTTTGTACAAAGTCTCCCTCTGGTAATATCTTCAGGAATATAACTGTGAAAACCACATCCAATTTGGTTGAGTAGTTTTTGTGTGTTGCCGGAACAAACTTACAAGTTAGTCAGACATTTCTAAAAACTATTGGCTTCTATTGCATAATTATTGTTGTTATACTTATAAATAAAGATATGTATACTCAATAGTAATATGTCTGCACGGTAGCGTCATCTACCGCTCCCATTGGTGTCACAGAAATTCAGCGTTTAGGCGTTATGTATGAATGCATGAACACTTAGCTGAGTGGTGACTGGTGGTCGCATATTTCCTTATTAGGTATAAATTTATTTTTATATTTCCTTTTTCTTTAAGTTTATAATTGTTTATGTTTTAATTATAACCGTTGACTGTAGCTGTTGATATGCGTCAAATAAAAATGTTTCTTTCTAACTTTCTATTGGTTTTATTGAGTATAAATTTTTATTAAATATTTCCCACGTACATATTTACTCGTCTATTTAGTTTATTATATAAGTAAGATGAATGCCGGTAGAGATGGAAATGTTACCTTGATAAATTATGTATATCAAGTTGCGTGTCTTACACCCACCATGGGATTTAGGGTTTATTTATTCTATGCGAAACAGAAATATATAAACGTAATGAAACGAATCTAAATAAATTATATTTTTATATGAAGATCGTAAATATAATTCTTAGTACACGCGTAATAGCTAAGTTTTCTGTTGACTTCAAAAAGAAGTCTGTTATCAATTTTGTTATATATATTTTTATGTCGGTTATCTCTTAACTCCGTCAGTTGTAAACCGATTTGCATAGTTTTTTTTTTATCTGAAAGTATATACTTACATATTAGTCTCATTGAATGTTTATCAAAATATATATTAAGTTGTTTAGTTTCTAAATCAAAATAACTGTTTTTTTTTTTACAATTAAAGTCGGTTTCCTTTTGTAAAATCAAATCTTTATTATAAAAATGTCTGTTCAGATGTGGGAGGGGCATTACATAATTATTTACGTAGTTACATACATACGCCTTGGTAGTTGCGAAAGTTAGTTATGAAAACGATCATTATCTCTTTTCTTAAAATTTACCATTAGAACGTTTTTACGTTATTGATTACTTCTTATATATTCTTAGTTTTTAAGGAACTCCCAAACAGAAGAGGTTTCTAAATTCGTCCATATTTGTTTTATGGCTATATTTTACGATTATGTCACCAAATTGTGAATGGAATTAAATTTTCCCTCTAATTTTAATATCTAAAGAGTTTTCTCCCAAGTCGGTCCTATTATATATTATATAATTACGAATCCAGCAGTAGATTCATAAAAAGATGACGATTTCAAATTGAAATTTAAATTATGGGATTGAGTAACGAAAATACTGTAGAAAATTGTAAACGTCTATTTAAAGAATAACACCTGAGTCCTCAGGATTAAGCAACGCATGGGGGGTATCATGGGCGAAACAGTATACTCTGTTATGTCCGTGGTACTGCTCATGTCTATAAGCGACGGTTACCACTTTCTAGCAGGTGGGCCGTCAGCTTATTTGCTATTTTGATAAGTTAAAAAAAAATCAACATCTGTATTATCGAGGCTCATATGAGATATTAGCGTATGCGCTTTGTTAGCTATTATTTATTTTCTAACGTTAAAAGTTTTATTCTGCTTTGAGGTATACACCCGTAAACAAACTTCAAAATTAGGAATGGTATATATTACGTTAAAATTATTATATTATTATATTTTCTGTCGTTTGAAGCTGTCGCTTTTCTTTACGGAATAAAAACCCGTTTGTTGCAATTATTCTATCGACTTCAAAATATCTGAACAAAATTGAATGTATGGGGTATGTATTGGTAGTTAGAATCCTTATACCATCCCGTATGACGTTGGATATGTATTTTTGTAAAGTAGGTCTTATATTTCTATTTAGATTTATATTGATGATTCTAAGTTGGATCTTTTGTCGTGTTATTTTTTATCGTGCATCAAAAATATGGATAATTAAAAACTATTTCATTACAATAATCATATTTTATTACATGCGGGAATTTAAAGGAACCACAAATCAATAACATGCGGGTAGGTGTACAATGTAACAATACTATTAAAGCGTTTGATACGTCATTAAGGGTGCGCGTGGGGCACTAATGGATTTTGTGGACGTGGGTCAATGAGAATGCAGTTTCTGACCGCCCCCGTCGACGATATGCTCGATACGCTTTAATCGAACCGTAATAAGAATTATTTTGGTATTTTATATACCTACACGTGAAATGTACACGTGTAATGGTGCAGTATAGAATTTGTTTTTTTTTTTATACAATTTAGAATGGCAAAAAGCTGACGGCCCACCTGATGGAAAGTGGTAACCGTCGCTTATAGACTTGAGCAGTACCATGGACTGTTTCGCCCATGATACCCCCTATGCGTTGCCATTCCTGAGAACTTAAATGTTATTCCCCTGTACCCAGTAAATTCACACCATATCTCACCCTTTCAAACCGAAACACAACCATGCAAACACAACTGCTTCACGGTTGAAACACGAATGGGACAGAGGTACCCAAGCAACCGACTTGTACAAAGTCTCCCTTTCGTAAAAAAAATATCTTTTTATCTAATCATATATTAGTAGATTAATGCTTAAATAATTAAACATATAACGCTAATAATTCTTAGAAGTAGTCATTGAGTTCAAACGTTGTACCTTAATTGACATATTTTTTTTAGAACATAACTCGAACCTAAAATTTCGGAGTTGTATACAATATATTTTTTTTTATAGGGCAAGACAAAACGCGACCAGTCACTAGAAGAGTTGAGACGGCATATCCACTCAAGCTATATACCGCTCGGCCGCCAGTTCATGGTGCTGTTCCCTGAAGGTGGTTTCTTGCATAAAAGGAGAGAAATTAGTCAAAGGTAAGAATGTAATATTTTTTATTTATAAAAAATTAAATGAAAGGAGGGATTGTTTTTTTTTTAATTATACCATGTTTATTTACATTAAACGATCTTAAAATTATTGACATTGACCATATAGTGTTAATTTTGGCACATGTTTAATTACTTTAAGCAATGTAGGCATGCAATATATATTTTTTTTCTCAAACATGCTTGAAAATGTGACTATTATTTTGACAATCTTCTTAGAGATAAATCAAAATTGCCGTACTGGCCAGATACATGCGGGCAGCGGCCGGCAAAAGTTGTATGAAAATCCATATCTGTCGTGTTTTGCGGCCAGATAAATTACTATGTAAACTCATGTATGTCCTGTAATTTAAAAATGGAATGACCTTTTACTTCGAAACATGGCTACCAAGGAGATAACTAATAAAAAAATTATTTAAATTTCGAATTGGCTTGCAAATAGAAAGCTGTTTATTGAAAAAAAAAAAACAAAGGACCATTATGGCGCGTGAAAAATTATTATTGTTCGTTATTCGTCATTGAAATTAAAAAGTAAAATTGTGTTTTTGATTTCCGCGCATTGTTAGAGAAAAGTACTATACAAGCCTTGGCCACAACAAGGCATTGATGGACTCACGTATGTGTGCCTCGGCTACGCCTCGGTCCACATTTGCACGTTCGTCCATCAATGCTTTAGTTGCTGGCCGCTGCAGTAATGTACTAATACTGGTCATCCGGTACAATTAGAAAAGGGTATTTTTTCTTTTGTGTGGATGTATGAATCCTATTGTTGTTAAATTGTTTCTTGAATTACCTATATACCATAGATTAAAATGTATTTTTATTTCTAAATCCAATAAAAAGAAATAATTTTAATTTGAATAGATATGCAGAGAAAAACAACTTGCCCAAATTGGAATATGTTTCGTTGCCGCGAGCCGGAGCTTTGAAGGTGATCATGGATGAAATTGGACCACACGAAGATGAAGAGGCGACCACGTCTAAGAATGATACCAAAAAAGGTATAATGATCATAAACGTAACGCATCTTATTTTAATGTAGACTAATCTTTTTTTACCGTTTTGCCTGTATTTTACAATCTACGTAATGTAAATTATATTATCTTTCTATCTATCCTATTTAAGAGCTGCGCTCTTGTCGGTGGAGCTCTTGCCACTCACTACGATTTTCAGCGAGTCTCTTCACCTCTTGATACGACACGACACCAACTCCTTCCTTGATCTGCCTGATGTATCTATGCCTTAGTCTACTTCTTCCCTCCCTCCCTCCTCTCTAAATTATATTATAATGAAAGAAAAATAGATACGTTAGATACGCAATGAAATTAAAAACTGCATATAAATGGATAACAAGATACCTGTTTAAATGTAAAAGGTAACAAAAACAAAACAGCAGTAAACAATACGACTGTAATCATCAATAGATTACTAGATGATGATGATTTCATTATTAAAAAAAAATACCTTAAACCCAATAGATTTAAACACAATGTTCTGTTAAGACAGATATGTTATACATTCAGAGAAAGAAACCTCAAAGTTAACATTGTGTTCTATAACTAATCAAAATCAATTATTTTTATTTAAAAATTACGCTACTGAACTGATTTTGATAAAATTTAAGCCAATATAAAAGATTAAAAAAATACAATTTCAGATAAAAAAAAAAACTTTCTAAATCGGTTTACAACTGAAGAATTTATAACGTAATAAATACAAGAAATAACCGAATTGATAACCTTTTTCTTTTTTGAAGTCTGTTAAAATGTTTCACACATAGAGAAGCGACATAGAAATTTTACTATAGTGTCAAAAAAATTAAAAGAAATATAATGATTACAATAGGAATAAATAAGATGGACATTGTACTCAAATGTTCGAGTGGTGCTAATTATCGTTAAAATATATTTTATTATTATTATGATGTCATTGTTTAAACTGTTTTTGTTTTTTGCAGATAACAACTTCAACCAAAGCAACTCAACAAAGATTTTGAACAACAAAATGGGCGACCGCGTCGAGTGGGTGCTGGACCTCACCATCGCATACGAAGACCGCATACCGCTGCATTTGCAAGATGTCGTGTGCGGTACAAGACCGCCTTGTACCACGCACCTCCACTATAGGCTATATCCTAGTACTGAGGTAAGAATTTGGTGGTATTAATATTAGAATTATCTTCGTTCAAGATGACTTCTAGTAAGAGCAGGTTCTCTAAATTTGAAGATATTTTTGTAATTATGTTATTGGATATTTTTTGTTAATTCTCAATTATTTCCAATGATTACGTTTGCAACTATTTTGCTGCACATTTTTTTTAACCTTAATTTTTATATATTGTAATCGGTTTTCAGCAAACCTTTATGAATGTGTCCTTTGTCATAGAAAGTATGAACTGCTGCAAATTCATTTTTCACTATTACAGCAAGAGCAAACAATTTGCTAGTTTGCTGTGATGAGACTTCTTCTACTACCTTTACATTAAGTGTTAAATAACTAAAATACCAAAAAACTGTAGAGATTTCAAAGACAATTCGGTCTTAAATCATAGTGTTATTTCATCCAAATCTCAACGTTGATATAATTATTTTTTACAATGAAATGAGACATCAGACAAATGTATATCAAGTATCAATAATCATATTACTTCACATCTTACAGATACCCTCTGACACTGAAGGTATGACGCAGTGGCTCTACGATAGATTTATTGAAAAGGATAAGATGCTCGAAGAGTTCTACCGTACGGGAAAGTTTCCTTCAAAAGGATCCACTCCACACGTAGTCCGGCGCGTTAGGCAAGACAATCTTCGGTATCTGATACTCCACTTGTTCTTTATAGCGTCTACATTTGTACAATACAAGTTGTGGGGTGTTCTCTGGGGTTACCTGTGGTAATCCTACATTGATGACCAGACGTGGACACAAAACCGTTGATTTTATTTTACGACGTATGTTTTTGGATTCGTGAATTGAGTGAATGATTTGGTCATTTGAGATCATTAAAATAAATAGCATGATTCTCGAATTTGCTTTTAATTCGATGTTAGTATATTCACAGTTTACTGTTGATCATTGTGGTCATAAATTTATTTTAGTTGTGTGCTTTGCTTTATATAAGTTCATTTTCAGTCATCTCCTTTCATATGTAGTGAAATGTTTTTATAGTTTTTTCAGTACAAATAATGACATATATTAATTTATATAGCAGTATTATAACTCAGAACCTCCTATACTATATCATGCAACTGGCCGTGATTTCTTGTCTCATAAAATGGGCAAGTACTTACACACTATCAAAGAATTGTGAATGGGATTTTAAACCATTAGCATATTACCATATTTTTAACCATTTATTGTGATTTATACTAATGTAATTCTATAAATGTGTATAAATCAAAATACCTTTGTATATTACCTGAACGGGTTAATAATACTTAGCTTAATATCTAGTATAAGGTACTAAGAATGCCGAATGTTCTCAATTCAATGTTTTTATTGTTTTAAAACGAGCTATTTCACGTCTGGTCTTGCTGTACCATCAATTAAGTTTTCGGTTATTGGCTGCCAATTAAACGAAATCTCACAGTCTGCGAAGTAAGCGTTTACCAATGTTTCAATAAGCCGAGTTATTAAAACGAAATACAAATGTACTTAGTTTTTGCGTCTAACAGTCATCTCTAGTTGTAATATTTAGATTTAGTGAAGTGTACAGTTGCTTTCAATCATTGATTTTTGTTATAGTAGCAATTTTATTAAGTGTTGTTTCATTCTCGTAAACAAATCTATTCTGCTAAATTTTAATACTAAATATCATGTCTACGGTTATGTTCAAATGCTGTGAGCAAAGTCTCACACTTGAATCAGGATTATACAAGTTTATTGCTTTTAATTTTCATCAATTTGCATTAAATAAATGTTATTACTTAATTTATGTCTTCTGCTAAATTATTTTCGAGATCAGACAGAGAAAAAGGATCTTTAATAGTACTCATTAGAGTGCAAAATACTATTCTTACACTTGATTTAACAGTGAATTCTTAAGAATAGAATTTTTAATGTCATTATAGCATAACTATGATAATTTGAAAATTTTAGGTTTTTTTTTAATGTTTTTCTGATAAAAATAATCTTCACTTTGTATAAATGCAACGTTTAACAGTAAAATTTTGCATTATAATTATCAAATTAGAATTTGCTATCAAATTTTTTGGAGATATCAATGCGTCAATTGTAAAATCATTCGGAAATATTGAAAATGCGACCGTTTTTCGAAGTCTTTGAGATTTGAATTGTTTTTCTTAGTGTTTCGTTATAAAATATTAGTTGCTTTTTCGCAGTCAGTAACCGAATACGGCGAATCATTTTTCATTTCCTCTAAGGGGATGGGAAATATAGTACATTTTTTAGTACTCTATAAGAATTTGTTTAGTTTTTTAATGATAAGTATGGACATATCGTCTTTCGATTATTTGTGCTGAGGGCATATTACTTTTAGCTACAAAAAGCCATTTCTGACTGTTTGTACCGTGACACGATCAGGAATCAATAAGGATCGATATAAGGAAAACCGCACATTCAATACTTACTAGAAATCCTTTTATCCTTATTCTCGATTAAAATGGTGGATTAAAAGTTCCTTTTTATATGAATCGTAATACAGTTCATTTCGTACACCTCAACTGTGTTTAACTACTTCTCAATAAGGGTATAGTATCGAAAGAAAGACAGAAAAATCATTTATCAATTATAATATATAAGTAGAATCAATAAAAAACATAAGAAATAAAATATACAGGTCCTATACATACATATACATATCTATCACGCCTGTCTCCCATTAAGGTAGGTAGAAACAATGAGACAACAAGAGATTTGTTTGAATTTGTCCTCCAAATGCTTCGATTCAAACAAATCTCTTTCGCCCTCATATCTACAGCGTTTATCTTATTTTCATGCTTCTTCTGCAGTACCTACAATTCGCTTCCATACATGAGTGTTAGTGTCAGTACTCCCTGAATTATATCACTTACATTACCTTGCATTCTTTTATTAGCTCTAGTGGCCAACAAATCCATCCATGCGTTTTTCTTTAGAGCCACCATATTTTTAGATCTCCATCTTACCATACATTCTCGTCTTAACGTCCTTTCTGTTACTTACACCACAAACTCGATTAGTATAAACTTGAATCGTATTACAATTCATATAGAGCTCTTTGAACTGATCGTGTATGACGTTCTTTATATATCAAAGCGTGCTGTGACATACAAGTCAATATATAGGTATATTAGCATAGTTTTTTGCTTGCGCTGGTACTTTCATGTTCTTGTGACAATAATGTTTAGACGAAACAATTCCCTTTTACACTTATCACTTTTTCACTGTCTATTTTATCCATTTCTCGCTTCGAATTTTGAAATACGTTTATTTAATAAAGGACACCTACTCGAGTTAATCCTTGTTGAGAATTCTAAATTAGGTAAATATTGTTCTCAAATGGCGTTTGAGGGACTAGGAAATCTTTTAGCGAATGTAAACGTACTCTGCCTTTTTAATATGTATTATTATGAACGTTTTTTATATAGTTACCCTGACCGTACGACCGTTATCCGGGTCTTAGCGTAATCGGTTATTTTATTACCCATATAAAAGTTCCGGATGGAAATATTTTATCCGTGGACCGTATTATTTGAAATTTTAGGAGGGTAGTTTGAAATTGGTATTCTATTCGTGCATTTAGCGGAGTGCTTTATTTTAATTTATGTCATTTTTTTAAGTATTTATATATAATAACCTGTTACTTCGAAATATATTTTATAAGTTATTGACAGATTTTTGAATAATAATAATTGATTAATGCTCTGATATAGATATCACATGCGTGTTGCCAACCCTGAAGAAACCTTAATACACTATTTTTAAGGAACCCCGTACTTGGTACATACTATAGGGGAAACCTCGGCAGGTTCATTCACACAGTTAAAGATGCTAGTTATCCAAAAATGAGCAGTACCATGAGGTTGAAAGTAGTATGTGAAATACATGGTGTTCTAATAGGTGACAGTTTCCACATCGCATGAGCTGAGCCATCATCTTGTATATCCTTTGAAATAGTTAAAAATAAAACCGGCCATTATATTCCACTGTATAAGTAGGTAGATATTATATTTATTTATAGTATATGTATTTATGTAATATTTTATTATGTATCTTAATATTTTATTTAACTGTATATTTGTTTATGTATACTAAATATTAATAGTTGTAGCATTTCAGCAGCCCGCTAGCAACATGTTTTCTAACTGCATTGGGTTGACTGGAAGAGATCTCTGTCAGAGATAAGTCCACCCTTGCTCACAATATTTATAAATGCATTAACAATGTAATTTACAAGTGCAATAAAGAATATATATATATATATATATATATATATATATATATATATATATATATATTTATTGAGAAATATATTTTTTAGTTTTATCAGACGCCATTTTCGAACTTAATAAAATATTAATTAAGTTTTTGATGTTATTATATAAGTTTAAGTTAGGTAGGAATACAAATTAACCATTAGTCGAATATGTACCCTGTAACTAGGGTTGTCACTTTTACTAGGAATAATTTTGATTCATTTTCCATACAAGACGTATGCAACTTTATGTTCTAACATCTGTAATACGAAGTGTTAAAACGAGCATTGTCATGTTTTCGTTTCTCTTGTAAACACACCAAACTTATGTATTTACCGTAAGTGCCTAGCTTGATTAATCAAAAAAAAAAAAAAGCTTACTCGGAAAATATTCAGTTTGTAAATAATTAATATAAAATCTATTTACTATCTTAAAGTACACATATATTCACAATAATTGTGTTTTGTACGTAATAAATAGTTTTTTTTTTTGTGATGTACAATAACTCCATTCTGTCTTACAAATTTACAAACGACTCAAATGCAATTTTGTATCTTGACTGTCTGTCAATCCACTGCCCACAATAATACATGGAGCTGTGTAAAATTATAATAAATATATAATTATGTATGCATATACAATATCATGAGATATAATACATAAATAATATAAAAATTACAATTTAAAATTCTTAAAATTTGACTACATAGAAATCCTTATTTTTTTTGTAATACTTTCCCACAAGATGAAGCGATGACCTCTTCGTTGCGGGGAATCTATAGTGGAACCTATGTCCAACAGTGGACGATAAATCGCTGAAATGATTATGTCATAAACTAGATAGTAAGCCAATAAATTTCATATCCGACCAAGTTCCTCGTTTCATGTCCAATATGCGTGCCTTTTGTATATTAGCCAATTAACGTTTTAATTTCACGAATACAGCTGAAAAACCTTCAGTGCTTAGATCTTCGGCTTTTCTGAATATTAATTGAAATTCCTTGAAGGTAAAATAACTCTTAAATAATTTGTAAATCTCTTAATTTGTAAACTCTGACTAAAGAAGGTATATTATAGATGTAGCTTGAAAGAAACACGACCAACAATAAAACACAAACAAAATTTCATTACGTTATTAATTTTTTGTATATTGCATGAAAGTGATAGCAATATTTATGGTCTAAAAGCGACGCTTAATGTTTAACGCTGTCATTCGAGTAAACTATAATAATTTACCTAAATTATTTCGACGTTCCAACCTAGTTTTTTTTTTTTTTTTTTAAGGATGATAATGTAATAGTAACCCCGCTTGCGTTATCGGTATATACTGGCGGGGCAACAGTGAGGGATGATTGGTGAGGATGAAAAGGCAGGCCAGTTAGCCCATCGTGACAAATTCGACGATAAATTAGTCACGATGGTTTCCAGGAGGAACCGCATGGAGGTCGACCTGCTAGGATATATTGATAGCAATAGGGACTT